AAAACAAAACAAAACAAAACAAAACGCAGTTGTTCATGCTGTAGTATATACACACTATTGACATATGAATCATAATGCTGTACAACCAAACACCTAGAATGTTACAAGCATGAAACATCAATTTTTAAAAAAAATAAAGAGAAAAAAATAAAGGCATGGAAGGGATTCTTTTTTGTTTTTACATCATTTTTTGCATTTTTCAATCTCAGTTGGGAAGGGATTCTTTAATACAGTTTATTGGGGCCTGCCTCCATGGGGGCTGAGGGTGAATCCCAAGGTCTAGTCTGCAGATCGCAGCCATAGGCACAAGGAGGGTCACTTCAGGATGCGGATGCTCATTTTCTGTTCTATGTTCATCTTCTCTAAGGACTGGGGGGAGATGGGTGATTGTCAGGAGCCTTGAATCCCAGCCCCTGTCCCCAAGCTACCATCATTCCCTAGTAACCCTCTCTTCCCACCTTCCTCTCTCAAATTTCATTTCCTATGACATGTCTTAGGGACTCCTGGTTCAATTCCCAGGGCATTCTGACCTTGGCAAACTCCAGGAAGGACACAGCCCCATCCCCGTCTTCATCAGCCTCTTGCACCGTACGGTCGGTGATACTCTCCAGCTGCTCCTCTGTTACCTGAACCCCAACCATCAGCCGGAGGACCTGGGAGGCGGGACAGAGACAGACACCAAGAGCAGTCACAGAGACCACTAGCACCATTCTTCAGGCCTTGTCCAGTCACCCTAAAAGTCATTACAAGTTTATAATCCATCCTTCATCCGCTTTTCAACAAACCCCAATCACTTCCCATTCTATCTCCTGCCACTGTGTCTCCATCCAAATCCTCAACTGTTCCTTACTACTCCCGACTCACCTCAACAATATGTGCAAACCCATTACCCAACCCCAAACTTCTAACCCAGCCCCATCACCCTCCACGCCATCCCCCACCTCATCCTCCAGCAATGCCCAAACCCACCACTCCACCACTACCACCACCACATCTATTCCAGAGTCTCTTCTCTGACATTGGGGCCAGACCACCCCTTTTGATGGACGGATGGGGCAACATTCCTGACCTTTGCATAGCACCTCCTCCCTACCTGTAGCAATCAAAAATGTCTCTGGATATTGCCAACATCATTCAGGGAGCAAAACTGACCCCCAGTTGAGAACTACTCATCTCGTCTCAATCTCACACCCAACTGTACCCCACCCCATCTCTGAACTAACCTACACCCCAATTGCTCGCATGCTCACATCCCCATTTCTGTGTCCCCCAGCCCCCAGTCATTCAGCCCATCCCTCAGGACCACCCCACTCAAGCAGCCCACCCTCCAGACCTCATCTTCTGCTTTGCGTTTTTACAACCTGTAGCATCTCCTGCCTGGAGATCTTTCCATCTCTATCCTGGTCGTAGAGTCGAAATGCAACTGGGAAGAGAGGGGTGGGAAGAGGAAAGAAGTTGGGTCTCCCCTGGTTCTCTTCCAGCAGGTCACCCTGGAGGAGCCAGGGAAAGGTTCTCTCCTGAAAGAGTGAGAGGTGTCTGGAGCCCCTCACTGGTGCGGTGAATCTGAGGTCTTACTTGGGGCGGGAGTTCCCACAAACTCACAGCGAAGTTTGTTCATTCTGCTGTTGAGGGGTTCAGGTTCCTTGGGGTCCCGGCTTCCCATGTACTCCTCATCTACAGGTCGGAAATGAGCCAAGACCCTGACAAAGTCTGCGAAATCCACTTTCAGGCTCCTGGAAGAGGTGGGGGGGGGGGGGAGGTGGGGGGGAGGGCCAGGGGCGGTGGTCCCCTTGGCCCTCCCTCTGCCACCGTCCCTCCCATACCAGCTTTCGGTCCACCTCCCCACCCCCAGCGAGTCCTCACCCCTCCGGAAAGAAGCTGTCTATAATGCGGTCCCCCAGGGGGTTGACGGCCAACGCCCCGATCTGCTGAAGATCCACTCGGCTGCAAAGTCAAAGTGCAAACACCGGAGCTGGACAGTCAAGGAGGGCAGCGGGGTCCGGGAGGTAGCGTGGGGGGTCTCGCGGCCAGCGCCCTCACCTCAGGTAGCCCTTCTTGTTCCTGTCCAGCGCGCAGAAGCGGTGGTAGAGGCGGAGCAGACAGGCTTGCGAGACTGCGGGCGGGGGGCGGGAGGCGGAGGGTGAGGCCAGCGGGACGCTCGCCCCGCGCTGGGCTCTAGGGGCTGAGGGGCTCGCGCCAGAATCTGACCCCGGCGGCCCAGGTGCCTGGGGTGTGGAAGGGACCTGCACCCGGGACCGAGCTGTTGCGGGATTGGAGGGGGCGTGATGGGCCAGGGAAGCTCCCGGCGACCGGGGGCTCCCCTCGCGGAACCCGAGAGACCAAAGCCAGCTCCTTCCACCCTCCGTGGGTCGGGCTCGAGGACACCCGGGCGCCCCCAACCCGGGGAACCCAGACCTTTCTCCAACCTGGACGCCGGAACCGCTGGGTTAACGACGCCCCTAGACTGGGTGCCAACCTAGCCCCTAGCCCCGGCACCCCACCTGAGGCCCTGCGCTGAACACCTCGAGCCCAGCCCCGGGGCGCGGGTTTGGCCCAGTCCCCCCAGCCTGCAGCCGGGACGCGGGCGCCGCGCCCCACTCACAGCCGGTCTCGCGCCGGATGTCGTCCACGTCGGGGATCCTCGCGGCGTGGGAACTGCGGGAGCCCATGGCCGAGCTGGAGCCGCGGACCCGGGCGTCTCTCCTCCCGCCTCCCAGGCGCGGCCTCCCGTGTCCCGGGGCCGAAGGCCACTGGCCTGGCCGAGAGCCAGGCTTCTGAACCCCGGCGTTCCTCGCCTCCCACCAGCGACCCGGGCGAATAGAAAACAATGCCCTGGGCGGCGGGTCAGAGGGGCGGGTGCGAACAACGGGCTGTTTCTTCCCAAGATTCTGAGGTCCGCGGGGGCTGGAGGCGGGTTGGGGGCAGGCTGGGCGAGGCCGGCCCGCCCTCCCTCGGGACTGCACCCAGACACCCACCCCCTCCTCCCGCGGCGCCCAGCCTTCAGGTCTCCCCGTGCGGCTTCATCTAGGGAATCCAAATGCTCTGGAAAGGGGGTGACCGGTGGGGAGGGGGGCTGGAGGCATCAGACCCACACTCAGAGGTTCCCGGCCTGCCGGGCAGGAGGCCATGAAGGACTGCAAAGGGGTGAAGTGGGGCGTGATAGCGAGCCCCAGAGTAGCGGCGAAGTGCGGAAAGCACCGGGTTCCCAGAACTTGGCTAGGAGTCCCAGCCCCGCGCTGATTCTGGGCAAGTCTGCAGAGCTTCCCATCCTGACTGAGCCGTATACTATTAGTGTTGTTGACAGTCAATACTTAAAAATCAGATTTAACCAACATTCTAGGTTCCCTACTTCTCCCGAGAAATCGGAAATAGTGACCCCCCTGGGCGGGGTTCCTCCTGGCACCACGGGCTGCAGCTTCAGTGGGTCTCCTGCACTGGCCACTGGCTCCCAGGCCATGTCAGCCCTCCTGGAACCCTTGCAACTCTGGTAAAGGCTGAAGGCTGGAAATGGCTGAGACCTCAAGCCACCCTCTGGCTCTATGGGCATCTGCAGCCTGAGAGAGGATGGCTGGCATCACTGCCACCAGCTCAGAACAATAATAACAAGGGCTTTCCTCCCCCTGCGGGGGGAGGGGGCCCACCCCCAGCCAGCACCCCAAGCCCTGCTGAACAGGACATGTGCACCAGCTTGCATTCTCCTGCTGGCCCTGGCTGGAAGTCCTCCTTCCTGCTGGCAAGGGGTGGGGGGCCGGTGTGGACCAATCAAGCATGCACTTTCAGTGGGAGCCATACTGCCCCCGAGGTCAAAGGGTCAAAGCCTTTATTCTTTTTAGGTATAAAAGACAGGTATACTTACAGTGCATAAATAGACACGCCATCTGTGGTGTTCACATTTAATGGAATAGGTGTGATTAAGGAAAAATTTGGGGGGGGGGTCATTGGAGCAGGGGGGACAATGCAAACAGTTCATTACAAGGGTTCAAGTTCATGCCCATCCTGGAGAGAGACATTGGAGGAACAGTCCATCCTCCGGCCCCAGGCAGAGGCTTGCCTTAGATAAACCTTGCCAATATTGATCTAAGAAGTGCTTGCTTCTCTTGCAAATTCCCTGAGGGTTCAACAACTGGTATACAGCAGACTGAATCCTTTTCAGATGCCAGCAAGGACTGAAACAAGCCGGAAGCTACAAGGATCCCTAATGAAGCCCAGCACCACTCCAGGGCACCCTGCAGGTAAGTCTGTGGGCTTTGTTAGAGCTAGGTTCTGATCCCAGGAAGGAATAAGAGAACTTGGGCCATGGCAATAATCATCTCAGGTCAGTTTGGGATGCTGACCTCAGATAAGCTTCTCTAGCCTGTGAGACCCTGAGGTAAGTTAGGCCAGAGGGTAACTAACAGAACTTCCCTGCACTCCATCACAGACAGAGCTGTGCTGGAACCCTCTCTGGTCTCCCAGGCACAAGCAGTGCTTACCAACTTCACAGTATGAACTGCCACATCTTGTCAGGGCAGTGTGTGGGGGGGGAGGTGCTTTGGGGAGAATTTCATCTATAACATCTGTTGAACTAGATTCAGTCTGAATGCTTTTTTTTTTTTAAGGATTTATTTATTTATGCATACAAGATCTGGGATACAGCCCAGAGGCAAGAGGCTGAGAGGATTCACCAGAGACTGAGTGGGGAACAGAACAGGAGGATCTATGAAAGACACTGCTGAGGGGAGCAGTGGGGAAACAGGAGAGGTCTGCCGTGCCATGCGGGTCACCTCCCAGGCTGGGGATCAAACTCATGCTGCAGTGGCTGCTGATGGCTTTATAGTGCTGCATGGTAACCCCTTGTGCCACCAGGGAGGGCCCTGAATGCTTATTATTTTACTTTAAAGCTGTATAAAAGTTACTGGCCCTTCTTGATGAAGCCATACAGACATTCAACTGGAAAAGTGAACATGCAAGACTAGTTAGAAAAACACAGAACGCTCACAACTCAGTAACAACAAGACAACTCAGGTCATAAACAAGCAAAAATAATGGAGTAGGGGCTCCCTGGTGGCCTAGGGGTTAAAGGTCAGCACTATCACTGCTGACATCTGACTTCCATGCCCAGCCCGGGAGCTGCCCCCCATGGCATGGCAGACCTCTCCTGTCTCTTCCCTCAGCAGTGCAATTCAGTAGATCCACCTGTTCTTTTCCCCACTTTGCCTCTGCTGAATCCTCTCATCTAACCCCCCAGAAGAACTGTACCCCAGTTCTTCTACACATACATACACACACAAAGAAAAAAGAAAGAAAGAAAGAAACACATAATACTTATTTAAGAAAACAAACGCTGGAGTGCACATTTCAAAGCTAGCGGCAGCCACTGCAGCACAAGTTCCATCCCTGGCCAGGGAGCTGACCCGCATGGTGAGGCAGACCTCTCCTGTCTCCCCGCTGCTCCCCTCAGCAGTGTACTTTGTCAGTCTGCCTGTTCTGCTCCCCACTCTGTCTGTGGAGAAGCCTCTCACCACCCCTGCAGCTCTGGCCTGTCCCCCAGTTCTGTATGCATAAATAAAACAATTTTAAAAAAAGATTAAGATGTTTTCTGTTATTAAAAAAAGAATTACAAGTGAGGTATGCACCCCAAAAGCCTTTTCTGCACCCACTTTTTCCTAAAAACAATGAATGAATAAACAACTGCAACTCTGCTGCACAGTAGGATCACCTGGAAATTTTTTAAATGCCAGATACCAAATGAGGCCACATTCAATGGCCCGGGCCAGCCAGCTTCACACAAATAAACCGAGGGGTCCTCAGCATTAGGCAGTTAAGGCAGAGAGTACTGTGCGCTGTCTCAACTTACCGTGTGAGAATTAAGGGAAACAGGCGCTTTTATTCAGGACAATGGACTATGCTTGGGCAGGAAATTGAGTTCCTAAGTCAATATATGATTCAAAAAGCAAGTGTAGTCAAAACTACCCATTGCTATGAAACAGAGTTATAGTTTTGTGTGGACAGTCCTGCATGGTAATCATCCCCCGCCAACATCTATCTTACGATGCGATCATGAAAAAGTGCAGTACACATTCTGATGGTTCATTTTCATCTCGTGAAATACAGTGTCAACTTTACACCGGTTCTCCTATTTTCTGGTTATCTGATAGGATTCAAAGACGTCAAGTAAGCACACCTTTGATGCAACTAAGTGGATCAGGATCTAAACATGTCCTAGTATCTTGTTTCCTCATGGAAAACACATCAGCTATGCACTTGGCTTATTTCAGGCTTTGAGAGAGATTATAAAACCATTGCAATTAGCAAAACATTGAAAGACAAAGCATCCGCTGCAGTCTTATGTAAGATAAGTGCAAGGGAAAATTATGCTGAGATCCACTTTTCATTTTGGAGGTTGGAAAAATCCGAAAGTTGAATAAACACAGTCGATGAGGAAACAGGAAGGCTCACCTATCACCAGTGGGTGTGTCCACTGGCATAACCCCAAGAAGGTGATGCGGACATTGTCAGACCTATAAATGTACATTTTGGACTCGACTCTACCACCCAGCTTTTACAGCTATGCTCGCACACTCGTAAAATGGTATGTACAAGATTACTGGATGCAGCATTAACTTCTCTTGAGAAAAAAAAAAAACCTGCAACCACAATGGTGTCTATCAGGTTCAATGAATTACAGAACTGTGTAACACAATAAAAAAAAAAAAAACACTCCCTCCAAACTGATGTGGAAAGAGATCTCCAAGTGTAAAAGGTTAAGCTGTAGAGCAGTATACAGTGTTGTGGATAAATGTTCTGTCTTGGGCCCTCCCTAGTGGCCCAAGGGGTTAAAGCACAGTGTTATGAAGCTATTGCAGCCACTTCAGCGTTAGTTCTATTCCAGGCTGCCCAGGAGGTGACCCACGTGGTGCAGCAGACCCCTCCTGACCCACCCGCTGCTCCCCTCAGCAGTGTACTTCATCAATCTGCCTGTTCTGCTCCCCACTCTGTCTCTGGTGAAGCCTCTCATCTCCCGCACCTGTGGCCTGTACCCCAGTTCTTGTATGCATAAATAAATAAATTAATATATATATTAAATAAATGTCTTTTTGGGGCCCTCCCTGGTGGCACAGCAGGTTAAAGCACAGCACTAAGAAGCTAAAGCCACTTCAGCATGAGTTCGATCCCCGCCTGCCCTGGAGGTGACCACATGGCGCGGCAGACCTCTCCTGACTCGCCCGCTGCTCCCCTCAGCAGTATACTTCATCGATCTGCCTGTTCTGCTCCCCACTCTGTCTCTGGTGAATCCTATCACCCTCTGCATCTCTGGCCTGTACCCCAGTTCTGTATGAATAAATAAATAAATCTTTAAAAAAAATTTCAATTCATTTTAAAAAGAAAAAAAAAACTTAGTGTCTAGAACATGAAGACAAACTTCTGTGTTCTGAGCAGGACAATATTTTATAGCATTAAGTAAACAAAATATTATTTTTAAAAACTAATTTGTCATTTCATCCTTGATGCTTTCATCCATAATTACCTTAAAAATCAATTAAGTTAATTATGTTGAAGCCCATTAAAAGAAGAGTATGATGTCATATATATCAAACTCCACACAATGTCAACTAATCTACAGTGACAGGAAACAGACCAGAGGTTGCCCGGGAGGACAGGGGAGCAGGAAAGAGAAGGGGAGAAAGGGCTGCAAAGAGGCACAAGAAACGTTCTGGTGTAACGGTTATGTTCATTATCTTGACGGTGTGGGGGTTTCATGCCAAACTTATCAAATTTTGCACTGTTCATATGTGCAGTTTAGGGTCAACTGCACTGCAATAGATCTCTTTTCAAAGTTAATTTCAACACTTTTCTCTTTTTAATTCCAACTTAATTGCATTTTATGATCTATCATTATGTAATGTCAGCCTAGTGATTAAACATATAATTTGTCAATAATTTTACATATATTTCAGCTGCATGTTTCAAAACCTCGTTGAGACAGGTATAGGAGAGTGGTTGAAGCCCTGTCAAAGCCAGGGACAGCTGCATACACTTAACCGCTTCACTCTACCGCCCCCTGCTGTAAGTAGGTTTCATAACCACGCTTAACCTCAGAGCCAGCTCTCAGGAATTTTATAGCGAAGACAGATGAATACCACGCTAAGGACTTTCATCAAAGAGCTTCTCTCTCTCTCTCTCTCATACACACACACACACACACACACACAAACACCCCATTAGCTCCAGCACTCCCTACCACACCAGCCGCAAGGGAGATAAGAAGTAGACTACTGAAAGGCATGAAAGAGAAAAAAACAAAGAGAAAACATAAGGCCAGAGTTCAAACATCAAAACCCTTTCACCAGCCAGACCTGGCAGGCCCTCGAGACCACAGTCCCCTTCATTCTTTCTCTAGGTAATGCAGAGACTTAAAACCAACCTTCCTGTCAGGGGGTTCAGGAAATGGGCAAGAAAAGTAACTGTAAGCACCATCTGGGCTAGCGTGAAAGCCACTTACCAGCGAGTTCTGAGAGAAGCCCGCACTCAAGGGGCCTTCAAGAGCCTCTTCCCTGTTGCCTCCAAGGACTTCTAAAGTGAAAGTCTCTTTGGCATCATTATCCAGGCCAAGCTCATTGGCACCATTATCTGGGCCCAAGAAATCCTCCCCAACCCAGTTCTCATCCAGACTGCACTCCACATGGGCTTGGGTCTCATGGGCCAGGATTAGGTGAAGTGCCCAAGATGAAGTTCTGGAAATCAAGAGGATCCGTAAGGACATTTCAGGACCAACCTCCCACCCAAAGCAAGCAAGTATCAGACCCACCCATGACCGATGCACCAGCTTAGATAGAAACACTGGTTCTTTCT